GGTATGTGGGAGGGTTGTCCTGGAGTCCGACTGCCCATATGGCGACTATACACCGGTCATGCAATTTCCAAATCCTATTCAGCTGTTAAAGGGTTAAAAACCCTTTATTCACTTACCTGACCCCAGCGCCGATGTCCCTCGGCGCTGGATTGAAGCTTCACCCCCTCCTCTCTCCCGCAATGATCGGGGTCTAATGTGCATGTGCGACAATGGCCGCGCGCACGCATTACACCTCCCCTTAGGAAAGCATTATTCAATGCTTTCCTATGGGGATTTCGGTGATGCCGAAGGTCCTCATGCATAGCGTGGGTACACCCAGTGTCATTTAAAACACTTTTCGTGTTCTAAGAAGCCGGAAGCACCATCTAGCGGCTGTCTGAGAGAGAGCAGCTAGAGGTGGGATTAGCCCTGTAATCAAAATACTGCGGTTTCTCCAAAACCACAGTGTTTTGACTAGCAGGGCTAAGGGGAGAGGGGCAAGGCACCCTGACCACTCCAACGAGCTGAAGTGGTCTGGGTGCCTGGAGTGCAGGGCTTTTTTACATTTCTGCGGTGTTTGTGTTTAGCTGTAATTTTCCTCTTACTCATTTACTGCACCATAAACTTAAGAATAGTGTTCCTGCAACTGGGAGAAAACAGCGTGTGTCTATACTACATAATAAACATAAGAGACACAAGTAAAAAGACCAAATGGTCAAAAAACAAAAAACAAAAAACAAATTTATTATATAGCAAATGATGTCATAAAATCATAATAACCCAAAGACTGCTAAATCAAAAAAGTACAAAGTGAAAAAATGGAATATATGTATCAATAAAAACAAAGAGATACAGTACTAATGTTACTTGGAATCCATGTATCTGTAGAATGATATATAATTCGATATATATATCAAAAAGATATGATAGAGTGGTATAGTAAACTTTAATATCTTAAATGGTATGAGGATAATAAGCAACAGCACACGTCTGCGCTGCTTTGGGAAGACATTGGCTGAAAATAGCCGTAATAGTGTGTGGGTGGGGGGGGGGAGGGGGGGTAATGGGGTGAAGGAGGATAATCTTCATGCAAAAGGTATACTGAACAAATGATTCAAAAACGCTATCTGCGATTGTCAGAATAGAGACCGCAGATCCTTAATGTGATAAAGGTTAAAGTAAAAGATAGTAGGTATAATAACGCAGTCCCATCTATACAACCGTAAAATCTGCAAACGTTTGAATGCTGTATACTGTTAGAAGTACGCATGTGTCAGAGTTATGATAGTAGCAGCTCTAAAATAGAAGATCTAAATAGCGTGCTGTGCTACTGATAGAAAGCACTACTGAGACAAATACTGTAGACAATGCTAGATTGGTAATAGTGGCGATACTAAATCTATGCCACCATTGGTGTGTGATCTAATAAAGTGCTATAATTCTGATAAAAAGCACTCTAATAGTAAGAGACACACACTGCATTCACTGCACTAACACACACACTGCATTCATTATACTAACACACACTGCATCCATTACACTAACACACACACTGCATTCACTGCACTAACACACACACTGCATTCATTACACTAACACACACTACATTCACTACACTGACACACACTATGCATTCATTGCACTACCACACACATGCCACTGGACCACCAGGGATGGAATCTCCCCCATCCCTGGACCAGGTAAGAAACAGGGAGGGGGGAATATCTTTCATTACATTTAATGTGGGGGGGGAATGCTCCATTTACACAACATGCATACACTAGTAAACACACACACACACACACACACACACTGCATTCACTGCACTAACACACACACTGCGTTCATTATACTAACACACACTCTGCATTCATTACACTAACACACACACTGCATCCATTACACTAACACACACTACATTCATTACACTAACACACACACTACATTCACTACACTGACACACACTATGCATTCATTGCACTAACACACACACACTGCATTCACTGCACTAACACACACTCTGCATTCATTACACTGACACACAGTCTGCATTCACTACACTGACACACACTCTGCATTCATTACACTAACACACACACTGCATTCGTTACACTAACACACATTCTGCATTCATTACACTGACACACACAATGCATTCACTACACTGACACACACACTGAATTTGCTACACTAACACACACTCTGCATCCACTACACTGACACACTCTGCATTCACTACACTAACACACACTCTGCATTCATTACACTGACACACACACTGCATTCACTAAACTAACACACACTTTGCATTCATTATACTAACACACTCTGCATTCACTACACTAACACACACTGCATTCACTACACTGACACACACTCTGCATTCACTACACTGACACGCACTCTGCATTCATTACACTAACACACACTCTGTATTCACTACTCTAACACACACACTGCATCTGCTACACAAACACACGCTCTGCATTCATTATACTAACACACACTCTGCATTCATTACACTAACACACACTCTGCATCCACTCCACTATACACACCACATTCAGTCCTGCATCATTATCAGTGGACTAGGTAGGAGTTCTGTGGGTGGAATCGTGGGCGGGCCGGGCGGGGGGAGTGAGGGGGGGCCCAGACCTTGTGCTTTTTCAGGGGCCCCAAAATTTCTGGTGGGGGCCCTGTATATAAATATTTGAAATTCCCTGCACTCTGGCTCCATGTTGAAGTGCCACGTTGAAGTGCAATGAGCCTGGGATTCAATATCCAAATACCAAATGTATGAACTGGCTTGCACTCACGGTCTTTATGATAAAAGTTCCATTCTTTTGAAAAAAGTTAAAGCATGTGTGGATCAACGTTTCAGTCCCCAATCGGGGCTTTCCTCAGGATCATAGACAAACACATTGCATGAAAATTATATATTTATAGCTAAATAATTGAAAGAAAATTAACTCACCACGTGGATCATATAATCGGCGCAGCATTTTCCCCATGTGTAGTGCGCATGCGTGGGACGTGCTGTGTCAGCGTGATGACGTGTATCGTGTTGCCGGGGTAACCATCAAAACAAACCCATCGCCATGGGAACCCACATTCTGTGTAAAGACGTTGAACCCTACACTTACCCCAACTCCCCCAGCTCCATAGAACCTTTTGTTCGAAGTCAAACAACCGATCCCGTACCCTCCCTTAATTAACCTGCCTCCAGTGACCATTGCCCTGGAGTGCCAGAGAGGTCAGAGCTTCTGCAGGGGGACTGCTGGGGTCTCGGGAAGCACCTCCCGACCGGGATCTATACAGTTACAAAAAGGCTCTAAAAAAGGTGAGCACTTACTCATTTTTTGTATATAATTGACCTAAACCATTACCTAACATACTACACCCAGAATCTATATTTTTTTCTGTTTCCTATATATATATAGTGGAGAGAAATCTATAGTGAAGGGGTGTTCTCATTCACCCTAAAGACACAGAAGCTTTGAAGTTTAAAGCCTAAAAACTGGAAAAGGCTCTAAAAAATGTGAGTTAATTTCCACTCACAACTCACAAATTGTATTTTCCCATATATACAGTATTGCACCATTATCTGTATCTCTCTTTTTGTTTTTTATGTACACCCCTAAATACGTTTATAAAGAGGGATAAGTGATTTATATGTTCATTGGAGGAAATATCTACCTTACACACTTATTATTTGTGGTGGGAAGTTGGGAAGTGGGAAGGTGTTTTCAGCAGCTAAAAAACAACTAAATATAAGACCACACAAGCACCAACATCTACCACACCTATTTTGTGTTAAATATTCATAGACAATATGGCCTAATACTAATATCAGTACGTGGTAACATCTAGACATGTGCAATTTGTTTAGTTCCGAATGCAAATTCTTCGGATACTTCCGAATTTCCAAAGTGCTGAAGTGACAAATTTCGGAATGCAGAACTGAACCAAATTACCGAAGTGCTTTGAATTTCTGAAAAGTGGCAAAACAGGAGAGGGTTGGGGTTAGGGGTTGGGGTAGCGTTAGTGGTTGAGGTAGCGTTAGTGGTGGGAGTAGGGTAGGGTAGCCCTAACCTATTCCTAACCCTACCCCTAACCCTACTACTAACCCTAACTCAACCCTACCCCTAGCCCTACTACTAACCCTAACTCAACCTTACCCCTAACCCGACCATAACTACTCCTAACACTGCTCCTAATTCAACCCTAACCCTACCCTTACCCTAACACTTTCCTTAACACTAACCCTTCCTCAAACCCTACCCTACCCCTACTCTAACACTACCCCTAACCCTATGCCTAACTATACCTCAAACCCTACCCCTAAACCTACTCCTAATCCAAACCCTAACCCTACCCTAAACCCTACACTTACCCCAACTCCCGAAGTGCCGAAGTTCCCGAAGTGCCATAGTTCCAAAGTGCATAAACGAACCAAAGTGCTGAAGTGCCAAAGTGTTGAACCGAATAGTTTTCCCATGCACATCCCTAGTAAAATCAGTACTCTGGTATAATCTGCACAGTGGTATTATCAGTACTCTTGTAATACCTCCACAGTGATATTACCCGTACAGTGGTAATATCAGCACTGTGGTAATTCCATCACTGTGGTAATATCAGTACTGTGGTAATATCAGTACTTTGGTAATATCAGTACTGTGATAATATCAGTACTTTGGTAATATCCGTACATTGGTAATATCAGTACTGTGGTAATATCAGTACTTTGGTAATATCAGTACTGTGGTAATATCAGTACTTTGGTGATATCCATACTGTGGTAATTCCATCACTGTTGTAATATCAGTACTGTTGTAATATCAGTACTGTGGTAATATCAGTACATTGGTAATTCCATCACTGTTGTAATATCAGTACTGTTGTAATATCAGTACTGTGGTAATATCAGTACATTGGTAATTCCATCCCTGTTGTAATATCAGTACTTTGGTAATATCAGTACTCTGGAGAAACAAAAGCAAGCCTCCTGCCTTAGGTTACCGATGGAATCCCTACACATCCTGTTTTTGTGGAGGTAATATCACCAGAGCACTCAGGTTATCATCCTATCCCTGGATTATACTACGAACTATGATCTGGGAAATACCAGCACCTTGGATAGTACCTGCACTCCATATAATACTCACACCCTGGGCAGTACTAGCACTTTGGATATGACCTGCACTCTAAATAATACTCACACCCTGAGAACTACCAGCACCTTGGATGGTACCTGCACTCCAAATAATACTCACACCCTGGAAAATACCAGCACCTTGGATGGTACCTGCACTCCAAATAATATTAACATCCTGGGAATTACCAGCACCTTGGATGGTACCTGCACTCCAAATAATATTCACATCCTGGGCAGTACCAGCACCTTGGATAGTGCCTGCACTCCAAATAATACTCACACCCTGAGAACTACCAGCACCTTTGATGGTACCTGCACTCCAAATAATATTCACATTCTGGGCAGTACCAGCACCTTGGATAATACCTGCATTCCAAATAATACTCACACCCTGGGCAGTATCAGCACCTTGGATAGTGCCTGCATTCTAAATAATACTCACACCCTGGGAAGTATCAGCACCATGGACTGTACCTGCACTCCAAATAATACTCACACCCTGGGAAGTATCAGCACCATGGACTGTACCTGCACTCCAAATAATACTCACACCCTGGGAAGTACCAGCACCTTGGATAGTACCTGCACTCCAAATAATACTCACACCCTGGGAAGTACCAGCACCTTGGATATTACCTGCACTCCAAATAATACTCACACCCTGGGCAGTACCAGCACATTGATACTGCCTGCACTCCAAATAATACTCACACCCTGGGAAATACCAGCCCCTTGGATGGTACCTGCACTCCAAATAATACTCACACCCTGGGAAATACCAGCCCCTTGGATGGTACCTGCACTCCAAATAATACTCACACCCTCAGAATTACCAGCACCTTGGATAGTGCCTGCACTCCAAATAATACTCACACCGTGGGCAGTACCAGCACCTTGGATGGTACCTGCACTCCAAATAATACCCACACCGTGAGCAGTACCAGCACCTTGGATGGTACCTGCACTCCAAATAATACCCACACCGTGGGCAGTACCAGCACCTTGGATGGTACCTGCACTCCAAATAATACCCACACCGTGGGCAGTACCAGCACCTTGGATAGTGCCTGCACTCCAAATAATACTCACACCCTCGGAAGTACCAGCACCTTGGATAGTGCCTGCACTCCAAATAATACTCACACCCTGGGAAGTCCCAGCACCTTGGATAGTGCCTGCACTCCAAATAATACTCACACCCTGGGAAATACCAGCCCCTTGGATGGTACCTGCACTCCAAATAATACTCACACCCTGGGAAGTACCAGTACCTTGGATAATACCTGCACTCCAAATAATACTCACACCCTGGGAAGTACCAGCCCCTTGGATGGTACCTGCACTCCAAATAATACTCACACCCTGGGAAGTACCAGTACCTTGGATAATACCTGCACTCCAAATAATACTCACACCCTGGGAAGTACCAGTACCTTGGATAATACCTGCACTCCAAATAATACTCACACCCTGGGAAGTACCAGTACCTTGGATAATACCTGCACTCCAAATAATACTCACACCCTGGAAGGTACCAGCACCTTGGATGGTACCTGCACTCCAAATAATACTCACACCCTGGAAGGTACCAGCACCTTGGATGGTACCTGCACTCCAAATAATACTCACACCCTCGGAAATACCAGCACCTTGGATGGTACCTGCACTCCAAATAATACCCACACCGTGGGAAATACCAGCCCCTTGGATAGTGCCTACACTCCAAATAATACTCACACCCTGGGAAATACCAGAACCTTGGATAATAGCTGCACTCCAAATAATACTCACACCCTGGGAAGTACCAGCACCTTGGATGGTTCCTGCACTCCAAATAATACTCAAACCCTGGGAAGTACCAGCACCTTGGATAGTGCCTGCACTCCAAATAATACTCACACCCTGGGAAGTACCAGCACCTTGGATAGTACCTGCACTCCAAATAATACTCACACCCTGGGCAGTACCAGCACCTTGGATATTACCTGCACTCCAAATAATACTCACACCCTCGGAAGTACCAGCAACTTGGATGGTACCTGCACTCCAAATAATACTCACACCCTGGGAAGTCCCAGCACCTTGGATAGTGCCTGCACTCCAAATAATACTCACACCCTCGGAAGTACCAGCACCTTGGATGGTACCTGCACTCCAAATAATACTCACACCCTGGGAAGTCCCAGCACCTTGGATGGTACCTGCACTCCAAATAATACTCACACCCTGGGAAGTCCCAGGACCTTGGATAATACCTGCACTCCAAATAATACTCACACCCTGGAAGGTACCAGCACCTTGGATGGTACCTGCACTCCAAATAATACTCACACCCTGGAAGGTACCAGCACCTTGGATGGTACCTGCACTCCAAATAATACTCACACCCTCGGAAGTACCAGCACCTTGGATAGTGCCTGCACTCCAAATAATACTCACACCCTGGGAAATACCAGAACCTTGGATAATACCTGCACTTCAAATAATACTCACACCCTGGGCAGTATCAGCACCTTGGATAGTGCCTGCACTCCAAATAATACTCACACCCTGGGAAGTACCAGCACCTTGGATGGTACCTGCACTCCAAATAATACTCACACCCTGGAAGGTACCAGCACCTTGGATGGTACCTGCACTCCAAATAATACTCACACCCTCGGAAGTACCAGCACCTTGGATAGTGCCTGCACTCCAAATAATACTCACACCCTGGGAAATACCAGAACCTTGGATAATACCTGCACTTCAAATAATACTCACACCCTGGGCAGTATCAGCACCTTGGATAGTGCCTGCACTCCAAATAATACTCACACCCTGGGAAGTACCAGCACCTTGGATGGTACCTGCACTCCAAATAATACTCACACCCTAGAAGGTACCAGCACATTGGATGGTACCTGCACTCCAAATAATACTCACACCCTCGGAAGTACCAGCACCTTGGATAGTGCCTGCACTCCAAATAATACTCACACCCTGGGAAATACCAGAACCTTGGATAATACCTGCACTTCAAATAATACTCACACCCTGGGAAGTCCCAGCACCTTGGATGGTACCTGCACTCCAAATAATACTCACACCCTGGGAAGTACCAGGACCTTGGATAATACCTGCACTCCAAATAATACTCACACCCTGGGAAGTCCCAGCACCTTGGATGGTACCTGCACTCCAAATAATACTCACACCCTGGGAAGTACCAGGACCTTGGATAATACCTGCACTCCAAATAATACTCACACCCTGGAAGGTACCAGCACCTTGGATGGTACCTGCACTCCAAATAATACTCACACCCTGGAAGGTACCAGCACCTTGGATGGTACCTGCACTCCAAATAATACTCACACCCTCGGAAGTACCAGCACCTTGGATAGTGCCTGCACTCCAAATAATACTCACACCCTGGGAAATACCAGAACCTTGGATAATACCTGCACTTCAAATAATACTCACACCCTGGGCAGTATCAGCACCTTGGATAGTGCCTGCACTCCAAATAATACTCACACCCTGGGAAGTACCAGCACCTTGGATGGTACCTGCACTCCAAATAATACTCACACCCTGGGAAATACCAGCACCTTGGATATTACCTGCACTCCAAATAATACTCACACCCTCGGAAGTACCAGCACCTTGGATAGTGCCTGCACTCCAAATAATACTCACACCCTGGGAAATACCAGAACCTTGGATAATACCTGCACTTCAAATAATACTCACACCCTGGGAAGTCCCAGCACCTTGGATGGTACCTGCACTCCAAATAATACTCACACCCTGGGAAGTACCAGGACCTTGGATAATACCTGCACTCCAAATAATACTCACACCCTGGGAAGTCCCAGCACCTTGGATGGTACCTGCACTCCAAATAATACTCACACCCTGGGAAGTACCAGGACCTTGGATAATACCTGCACTCCAAATAATACTCACACCCTGGAAGGTACCAGCACCTTGGATGGTACCTGCACTCCAAATAATACTCACACCCTGGAAGGTACCAGCACCTTGGATGGTACCTGCACTCCAAATAATACTCACACCCTCGGAAGTACCAGCACCTTGGATAGTGCCTGCACTCCAAATAATACTCACACCCTGGGAAATACCAGAACCTTGGATAATACCTGCACTTCAAATAATACTCACACCCTGGGCAGTATCAGCACCTTGGATAGTGCCTGCACTCCAAATAATACTCACACCCTGGGAAGTACCAGCACCTTGGATGGTACCTGCACTCCAAATAATACTCCCATCCTGGGAAGTACCAGCACTTTGGATAACACCAGTAGCATGGAAAGTTCCGGCACAGACTAAAGTATCCGTAATTTTAGAAGTACCTGTACATTGCCCCAGTTTACACCATGGGTAACCCATTAGTAACCGATATAGAATGAGAATTTACACTCTGGAAACCATTACTGCTCCGCAGATCAGTTTTGAGTCCCAGAGGAAGTTGCTAATAGGAAGTTTTTTATATATATTTTTTTATTAATTGATAAAAAGAATAAATAAAATGTAAAAAATTAAATAAATCTAAAAGAAATTCATGAGACAAAGGAGCAGCAGGGATTGTCATCTGACGTCTTCCACAAGGGAAAAGGTATCGCAAAACGTCCGAGTTCCAAGAATTATAAAAGATCAATATGAGCAATAAATAGTTGTGTTCGGGGCAACATTAATTATGATACTAAGTAAGATTGTTGTTAGCAAACCTGTGATAGGAAAAAGGTGTGCCGAGACCAACGTATGTTGTAGGCCAGTAAATAAAGTGGGTCTACACAAGAAGAGTATGGTGAATAAATAGAATGGAGGGTGGGGCAGCAGCACGTCAGACCAATCACAGTAGGGTAGGGAAAGGGGGAGTCTCTTTTAAAGGTCCAAAAGGTCCACAACTTCAGGCCAAGCCTTCCAATATATATAAAATGGAGCCTCTGATATTCAAAGACCTGTACGCATAGCTATAATAAAAGAAGTGAAATATATGTGAACAAGGCACTGCCGAATATTAAGGGACAAAGAACAAAATGGAGGTGGAAGGGGAGGGAAATCAAGTTTTCTTCTAACTCAGCAGTGTTTTATAATAAGGTCTTGGTATAACTGTGTCCTATGAATCCAAGAGAAGAGAGTGAGAGATGTACGTCGTAAACTGCTAGTAAATATAAGGATTCCAATTGAGGGAGAACTTCGATTCTGCCTGATCAACGTTCTTGGACATTTGATACTTCAAAGGGTTCCTTTTTTTTATACTTAGAAAGAAACATTTTCTCGATGTCTGCATCGTAAGGGCTCGATTCTGAAATGTACTATTTCCAAACATGTATTTAGTACACATGGATTCTGGGAAGATCTCGCCTAGCTTTGCAAATTGATTCTCATATATTTTTCTTCTTTTATTTACTGAAAACATGAAGACACGCTTGATTAGTTGTGTTTTATTTGCAAGGAAGAAGACGTTGGTGTCAATAAAATATGTGAAGGTTTTAAGGGTAATTTTCAAATCAATCAAAAAGTCGCATAAAATGTGGTGAACAGTTTTTCCCTGAGAATTTCACATCTGTGATTGAAATTTAAAGACATGTAAAAAACCGATGGATAAAGGATCTTCCTTTATCTCACAGACTCTTCGCCGAGGTTCAGATTTCCTTTTGTTTGATAGAAATATTTGTGAGGTGTATGGAAATAGTCAAATGTAGAGTTGAGCGAACCCGAACATTTCGCTTTTTGGACTCCAGACCCGAACACGGACATTTCACTGTATGTTCGGGTTGGAGTTCGGTGTTTGGCGATTTAATGGCGCGTTTTGAAAGGCTGCAGGGCAGCCAGTCAACAAGAGTTTGACTTGTGTGTCCTTAGAAGCCATCACAGCCATGCCTACTAATGGCATGGCTGTAATTGGCCAGTGCAGCATGTGACCGAGCCTCTATATATAAGCTGGAGTCACGTAGCGCTGCGTGTCACATGAGCTCTAGTGTAGGGAGAGGATGCTGCATCTGTGAGGGACAGATTAGGAAAGAATTCTGGTGTTGAATCTGCAAACTACAGCAATTATTTTAGTGGATGCTAAACTACATTTTTGTACCCTGCCCTGAGCCCAGTGCCACAGAGAGTGCAGTGCACTTGCAACTGCATGTGTGCCAGGCACATTACTTTAATAGTGTTCTGGTAGCTCAGTGGGCAACATCTAGGCATTTTTAAATACTGCAATTTTTTTGGTGCTAAATAGTACATTTGCGTACTGCATTTTTTGCAGTCTAATAAAATCCTTAAATACTACTGTTACATTGTTGGTTTAAAAAAATCACACTTTTTTGTGCTAAATAGTACATTTGCGGCCTCCGGTGCACTTCATATCTGAGAGCCAAATAGAACCGTCAAATACTGTGGTTACATCTCACTTTGAAAATTTCACATTTCTTTAGTGCTAAAAAGTAAATTTTGGGCCTGCACTTCATATCTGAGAGTCAAATAGAACCGCCAAATACTGTGCTTAAATCTCAGTTTTAAACATTTGAATTCTTTAGGTGCTAAATAGTAAATTGGGGGCCTGCACTTCATATCTGAGAGTCAAATAGAACTGTCAAATAGTGCTGTGACATTGCAGTTTGACTAATTCACATTTCTTTGGTGCTAAATAGTACATTTGGTGTGTGCACTTCATATCTGAGAGTCAAATAGAACCGTCAAATAGTGCTGTGACATTGCAGTTTGACTAATTCACGTTTCTTTGGTGCTAAAAAGTAAATTTGGTGTGTGCACTTCATATCTGAGAGTCAAATAGAACCGTCAAATAGTGCTGTGACATTGCAGTTTGACTAATTCACGTTTCTTTGGTGCTAAAAAGTAAATTTGGGGCGTGCTGTGCATTTCTTGCAGTCCAATAACTTAAAAAAAAAAATGTTTACTGTGGGTTGTTACATTGTCACCTGACATAAACCATCTGTTAGTTTGGTGGGTGAACGCAAAGAATGAGGAGAGCGTCAATAAAGGGATGTGGCCCTGGTCGTGGTGCTGCTGGTGTTGGTGGAGCTCCTGTTGCAGGGAGAGGACGTGGTCGATCTGTGATAGCTACACGCACAAGTGAAACACCTTCCTGAGGTGCGAGTACGCGACAGAACCTTCAGCGTTATATGGTAGGCCCGAATGCTGCTCTACGAATGGTGAGGCCAGAACAAGTACAGGCGATAGTAGATTGGATGGCTGACAGTGCCTCCAGTTCCTTCACATTGTCTCCCACCCAGTCCCCTGATGAAAGCTCAGAGTTGGCACCTGCAGCCCATGGCCATCTGTCTTTCACCTCACCCCCTTGCAAATCAGCCAAGCAGTCTGAACCACAAGTCATGCAGCAGTCTGTTATGCTTTTTGATGACTCTGCTGGCGGGGTTTCCGTGGACCATCCACTTAGCCCCACCCAGAAGTGGAAAAGATTGAGTGCACTGATGCACAACCACTTATGTGTCAGGATGTGGACATGCGAGGACATCCGCGGCACGTCTCTGATGATGACGAAACACAGGTGCCAACTGCTGTGGCTTCCTGCAGTGTGCAGACCAGCAAGGAGGGCAGGGTTGAGGAGTGGGTGGAAGATGATGTGGAGGATGATGAGGTCCTAGACCCCACATGGAATCAAGGTCATGTGAGTGACGTGTCCAGTTTGGAGTAAGAGGCACAGAGACACCAGCACATCTTAAGAGGGAGCAGGGTGCAAAAGCGGAGCAGCCGTCCCTTAGACAGTACGCCTGCTACTGCCCACTGCACCCAGGGACCGAGCACACCAAAGCCAGCTCCAAGGAGTTCCGTGGCGTGGCAGTTCTTCAGACAACGTGCTGACGACAAGACACAAGTGGTTTGCACGCTGTGCGATCAGAGCCTGAAGCGAGGCATAAACGTGCTAAACCTGAGCACAACCTGCATGACCAGGCATCTACATGCAAAGCACGAGCTGCAGTGGAGTAAGCACCTCAAAAACCAAGAAAGGTCTCAGGCTCCTCCTGCTTCCTCTTCTGCTGCTGTCTCGGATTCTTCCTCCACCTCTGGAGTCACAGTAGCACCTGCCACCCTGCAAACAGCGGATGTGGCAGCAACGCCACCACGTCCGCCACCATCCCCAAGCATCTCCACACTGTCCCATGGAAGAGTTCAGCTGTCCATCTCCCAAACACTGGAGACAAAGAGGAAATACGCCCCTACCCACCCGCGATCCCTGGCCCTGAATGCCAGCATTTCAAAATCTGTGGCCTTTGAAATGCTGTCATTCCATCTGGTGGGGACGGACAGTTTTAAAAACCCGATGGCAGTGGCTGTCCCACAGTACGTGGTTCCCAGATGCCACTGCTTTTCCAGGTGAGCCATCCCTTCCCTGCACAACCAATTGGCGGACAAAATCAGGTGTGCACTGCGCAATCTGCCTAACTGCACACTGGGCCAATGTAGAGGCGGCTGGGCCTGAGGCAGATAGCAGTTTGGCGCATTTTTCCTTCCGCCACCGAGGATTGCAGGGCATTTCTCTTTGCCTCCTGTTGCCTCCTCCTCTTACTCCGCTTCCTTCTCCTCTACCACCTCCTCATCCAGTCAGCATAACACCTTCACCACCAACTTCAGCACAGCCAGGGGGAAATGACAGCAGGCTGTTTTAAAACTCATATGTTTGGGGGGAAAACCCCACACCACGCAGGAGCTGTGGACGGGCATGGAACAACAGACCGATGAGTGGTTGTTGCCACTGAGCCTCAAGCCCGGCCTGGTGGTGTGCGATAATGGGCGAAATCTCGTAGCAGCTCTTCAGAAATTCCTGAAAAACTACCCAGATATATCAGAGCTGTTGCAGAAAGTGCGGGCCATCTGTGCGCGCTTTCGGCGTTCTCACCCTGCTGTTGCTCTCCTGTCTGCTTTGCAGCGTAACTTTGGCCTTCACGCTCACCGTCTCATAAGCGACGTGCCCACAAGGTGGAACTCCACCTTGCACATGCTGGAAAGACTGCGCGAGCAGCAGCAGACGATAGTGGAGTTTCAGCTGCAGCACGCACGGGTCAGTCGCTCTGCGGAACAGCACCACTTCACCACCAATGAGTGGGCCTCCATGCGAGACCTGTGTGCCATTTTGCACTGTTTCGAGTACTCCACCAACATTGGCCAGTGCCGATGACGCCATTCTCAGCCTTACTATCCTGCTTCTATATCTCCTTGAAAAAACGCTTCGGGCGATGATGGAAGAGGATGTGGCGGAGGAGGAAGAGGGGTAATTTCCACGGTTATCAGGCCAATCATTCACAAGTGGCTTGGAGGGTGGGTTCCTGCAACAGGATAGGCCAGGTACA